CGAATGTAAAGCCGCATCTTGATGAGATTGATAAAATTAATAATCGAATTCTTTATCAAAAGATCATAAAGGTAAATAACTTTATTTTTAAAAACTATGAGCGTTGCAAAGTGAAAACCTGTAATTGATCATAGTAAGCCCTAAATGCAGTTATAGGTTTTCACTTTACAACACATTGTCGATATATATAGTCATACCTGTAATCGACATAGCATATTTAATTTTAATACCATTTAATTTGCTTTTATTAGACTATTATTACGATTTCTTATTTTGAGATAGAATCATGCGATTTCCTAGTTCACAAAATTATTGAGAAAGAAAACCTTGATCCTGATATCGTCAACTCTTTACGTGAGCTTATTAGTAAAGACATTGATTCCGATAATCCATGCGAGTTAGAACAACATTTCAAATCTCTCTCCGAAGATATTCGCAAGGATTGTTTACCAGCATTTCGTAACAGATTTACAAATCTTATTTTAAATGATGATTTGACATGGAATTCCGCATGCTTAAATTCATTTTTGTTGCTGTTTACTCAATTATTTACTACTGAATCTGAGGTTGTGCAAGTATTAGAATTCCTTTCTAGATCAAAAAATATCGATTTATTACATAAATTTCCAAGTTGGTTAAAAATCGCTTGGGAATCGAGAGATAATAAACAATTGCACAAAAAAAATTCCATCTCTTTGTGATGCATGGTATTCAAATATTACTTCTACTTCCCAAAAAGGACAAAACATTGTAATCTTAATGTATAAGCAACTTTCGGAAGTTTCATTCATTTTTAAAAAACGTCCTGATATCTATAAACAATTAATAGGAATCATTGAAAAGAGAATCAATAATATATCAATTCAATTGTTGCTTCAATCAACTTCATTTGTAGGCAGGCTTGAAACTAAAATGCCTAACATTGCTAAAGACTTTACAAGAATCTTTAACGAAAAATTTGATCCGTTTATTAACTCCATTGATGATGATGCTCTAATAACAAATATTGCCCATATATGTGATTCTTCACCCGCATCCTTGAATGTACCTAATAGGTAAGCTGTTTATTTCGAGTTTCAGAACAAAGTAGGATATTTATTTTGTTAATAATTATTCAAATTGCATTTTATATGTTTTATTAAATCTTCTTTAGATTATGCGAAAGTACTGTCTGTCATATATTAGATATAATTCGGAGTAAAATTGTGGCATCTAGTGAATTTAATGTTAGCAACGATGAAACTCAATTATTATTGCTCAAATCTTCTAAATTCTGGTCCTTTTTATTAAATGCTAGTGGAGTGGTTATTGAGCTTCATTCTCATCCACAAATGAACCACGTTCGTTCTCAAATCATTCAGCTTGCTAATATGATTAGAAATAAGTCAATTCAAATGGGTTTACTTGAATCGTTAACTGAATTTAAAAATGATGATTTGATTAGTTATTTTAATTCTGGTATCGGTCTTGAAAATGAGGAACAAATGATTACTGGTGAAATATTAGATTTTCTTAGGGAGAAGTCCCATGAACATTCAGATACTGCTAAGCATCTATTTTCTTTCTACCATAAATGGTGTAATAAGGCTGAGGACTTTCTGACTTATGTAAATGATCTTACTCATAAGATGGAAACTTTAAAAGATGTACCACTTGCTGATTTTGATTCTATAGAATACTGGTATCCACATACTGGGATTATTGAAGTCAGCCAAAAAGTATACAAATATGAAAATTCTGTAACTTTTGCAAACATGATTGAAAACAATACGAAGGGTGAAATACAAATGAGCATAGCAGATATAGCAGAGATGTTTACGAGAAGCATGATTGAACAATATCAAAAGATTTGTAATAGTTATAAAAATTGGCAAAATATTAATTGTTCTGAAGCTCGAGTATTTTGGAAATGCATTACTAAAGAACAAGTTAAACATGAGCTTGAAATAATGGCTGGTGATGCATCTTTATACCGACAAAGAAATCAAGTACAGAATGGTTTAGTTGCATCTATAGAATGTTTGACTATTATCCCGCGTCACATTGAGCAACTCGAATGGCTTCTACTGGTTTTTATCCAATTTAAAGTAAGAGATCCAGACAAAAGTTGGGTGTTTCTGATGCTTCAGCATTTAAAGGATGATGATATGGGATTAAATGAGTTGCCTGGTATTTTTCAAGAACTTAATGAACACCTGAACAAACTTGATAAATACATCTGGACCATAGTTAAAGAACTTGCCTATGCTAATGAATTCATTAAGTATTTACTCGAAAATTTAATCGGAAGAGATTTAACAAATCTTATCAATGGTAACGTTCGATTCAGTTTATTGTATATATGGAAACCTTCAAAATTCCGACTTATTACTCACTGAATCTTGAAAATTCTGTATCCTAACTTTTCAAATGATTCAAATAATTATGATATTTTTTAATAATAATTATAGTAATTTGTCGGGATTTTATACGTGTCAGCTTTGAATAGTCGGGATTAGAGATGCGCCCACGCACGAGACCCTCACGCGAATTAATCATATATTACTATATCTCGCGCGGAATAGATTTTTAATAAAAACATCTTAATGATCAATGATTTACAAAACACAAAACCTATACCTGCTAAACTCAAAATTTCGTCCTGTACGAGTTCATCGCACATTTCGCGCGAGGTCATGTGATACACGCTAGGTTCATTCGCGCGAGAAGCACATCTCTAGTCGGAATTATGGAAAATTTTATGTCATCATAAGAAGAACTATACTTATTTCAAAATTTTTTTCTGTTTCATTGATAAATACTACAGCTGTCGATGATCAGTCAGATACGAAATTACTTCAAGAGAACACCGTGGCCGCTTTAATTGAAGTCAACAAAGCGTTGAATCCCTTAAATAATGATTCTGTACGATTATCTACCACTTCATTTTTGAGATGCTTATCCGAAGTATCACAAAAACACCCTTCGCTCGCTGAAAAAATAAGCTCTTGTGGATCGCATAATTTGGCTTTACAAAATATGCATCGTAATATAGCAAAACGAGGTGAAGTCACCAAGGAACGAATTAAAAATGCAGCAACAATAGGACACTATATATTTGAACATAATGAAAAATCAAATTCATGTGAACTTACATTGAAATATGATACGACACAAAATCAACATAACGATGCACCTCGTGTTACAGCATCTTATAATATAGCGGAATTGCGCGATCTTTACGGTCGTGCACTCTTGATTGGAAAATCTAGAGCTTCTACTGATCATTCAATTGATGATGATGGTAAAGAAGATATTAGCATTCTAATGAACCAATTTGTTATGCAAGTTGATTTAGCACAACAAATTACCACTGTGGCTTCAAGATTAATTCAATATGGTCATTTTCTTTATCAAAAGATGCGCATGGAAGCTCGCGGTACTACTGACTTGCAACATTTGTTAAATAAATTAAATGATGATATGAAAAATTGGGAAAAAATAGTTGACCAAGCACAAAACGAACACTATTATTTAACTTTCTTTTCTGCACGTCATATTTTGGCATTTTATGATTATTTTAGAAATGTGCATAATGGAAACGATAATCTTTGTACTTCGAATCAAGAAATTTGTCGAAATCTTATTCGATTCGTTAATGACGAAGCTCAATTACCACAATTACATAATCATATTGATGAATGGCCTGATGTTCAGAGTGAAGCTGATTTTTTACCGACTCTTTGTAAAATTGGTGCTACACTTTGTGACATTTTCATTGATATTCAACAAAGAAACCGACCTATTCCTGATGATGTTGAACCGATCATTGCTGATACAGTTTTTAAAGGAAAAATATTTGTGGCAGATTGTCACTCACGTTCATTAGTACCAAACGTCATTTTATCACTTTTTACCAATCATGGATCTTTTCCTGAACCATGGCAAGTATTAATTTGTCGAAGTACAACGACTGCGGAAGAGATTTCGCTCTTCATAAAGCGTTCGTTTATTGCGGCAAAAAATGATTATGAAGATTATTTATTTTGTATCGCAAATGTGGAATTCTTGGATTTCGAATTACAATATAATCTTGTTAAAACAATCAGAACTTTTCAAGAAAAAGAAACAAATTATTTGCTAGCATTAGTATGCACTAGAGAAAAGGGTATTAACCATCATATATTAGATCAATTTTCCGAAAACATTCACACTACAAATGGGCTTGATACTGAGTCTATGAAGCTTTTATACTCTGAAATTTGTGATTATGCTACATGCGTGACATCAAATATGTCCGGACAAGGCAAAACGGAATGGATTAAAGAATCTAGCTTTGGGCTAAGAAAAGCACCACGTACTTTATTAATTAGTGACAATGTCAATTTTGGAACGCTAGTTCGACAATTGGCTAATTGTAAATTGAACGCCTTTGAAAGTTTACACCTTGATATTACACTCGTAACTTATCCTCATGAAATTAACTTCTTTTTGTTTGAATTATTGACATTTGGAGTGGTTTCCAATGAATTAGATATAGTGCATTTGTCACAAATTCCAATATTTATCGAAATCGCGTCAACGATTGAGCAATATTTATTAGATTCGCTTTCTTTAACTAAATATATACGCAGACATCACCTTGAATGGGACTTGGAAAATTTTATAGTGTCTCATCATGTGAACAGTCCTATTCAAATAGTTTCTCATTATATGGATGTACACTTTCATGGCGATCTTAATGACACAAATATTCGTTTTATAGGGAACGAGGCAGTTAAAGAACCTTTACCAGCTAAACGTTGTCGAGAATTATTGGAACATTACTTTTTCAATGGCCAGCTAGATAATGTTTTTTCTTATCGATTTTTAGAAATTTTTGTTAATGTACTAGCAGACCAACTGGCTAGGCTTTCCGCAAGTTCTTTCTTTCAAGTAGAACAATTAAATGTTATGACTAAAGAAACAAATATTCGTTCATCTCTTTTTGAAATATTGGTTTCTTGCTCTAAAGAATTTGCTACACGAGCGATCAAAGCAAAGGATATGCAAAAGGCAAATGTTCAGGAAAAAAATACTCAAGACATTGATACCGCAAGACTTGGTAACATGGTTCAATGGGACGACTCGAATCATCTTGTTGTTGTGTTTTTATCGCAAATGCCAGATTCTATATGTGCTCTTTATCGAGAAAGAAGTAAAGTACCAACTAATGTCAAAAATCTATTAAAAAGCCAAAATGCAGAATTACAAGATTACCATAACATGAAGCCAGGCATGTTGTTAGAACAACTGGAACGTCTTGCAAGAAGAAAAATGCACAAGTTAAAAAACTTGCCTGAATACGCATTAACAATAGAAAATCTCCTAAAGATGGCGATGATTTTGTTGAGATCACGTGCAAACATTCCAGTAGTCTGTTGTGGCGAAGCTGGTTGTGGAAAGGTTTGAATTATATATTAATACAAATCCGTCTTTATTATTATTGTGCAATTATATACGCGAGATTGTTTTTTAATTTTTTATTTCTCTTAATCTAAATCCAGACTAGTTTGGTTAGCTTTTTGTCGATGATAATGGAAGTCAATTTTCGTGCATTAAATCTCCATGCGGGAGTCCATAAAGATGATATTCTGGAGTTTATGGAAAAGGCTACAGAACTTGCACAAGAAGGTGAAACCTGGGTTTTCCTAGATGAAATTAATACATGTGATCATATTGGAATGCTTGGAAGTTTAATTTCACACAGAATTCTTAATGGAAGGAAGTTACACCCAAACATTAGAATTTTTGCTGCTTGCAATCCATATCGATTAAGAGTTAAAACACAGAGTAACGTGGGTTTGTCAAGACTGTACGAAGAGAAGGGTAAATTGGTTTATCAAGTACATCCGATGCCTGACCAAATATTAGATTATGTTTGGGACTATGGTCATCTCAAAGCAGAAGATGAACGAAATTATATCGAAATCATGGTTAAGACTCAGTTAAACCATCCGTTTTTTGCAGAATTATTATGCGCATCACAGGCATTTATCCGTAATGTTGAGGAGCCATTTAGTGTTAGCTTGCGAGATGTGAAACGTGCTATCAAAATTTTCAAGTTCTTTAATAATAAAAAGAAATTTAATTATAATTATGATCATGATGTATCTCCTGAAACACGTTCGCTGGTGTTGGCACTTAGTTTATGTTATCTTTTTAGACTTCATGATCAATATCAACGCAAAAAATACCGGAAAGAAATGATTGATATCATAAGAAAGCATCAAAGAACACCTGATGAGCCTAGATACCGAAACCACACATACAAGGATTTTTTCGAAAGAATAATTTTACATGAACAAGAAAATTATATTAATCGTATGCAATGTCCTGAAGGAACTGCTAAAAATGAAGCTCTATTAGAAAATATTCTTGTAATGATCGTTTGTATACAAACGCGAATACCAGTTTTCATAATTGGCGCGCCAGGAAGGTGAATAATATTTTAAGTCTTTTATGATTCCTAAAAAGTGTAATAAAATGTAATTTAAAAAAATATCTCTCTTTGTAGCTCAAAATCATTGGCCGTCCGAATTATTAGTATGAATCTTCGAGGAGCGGATTCAAATGATTCTTACTTTCGAACCTTGCCTCAAGTCTACATGATACCTTATCAAGGTTCAAGTTCGTCAACTTCTGAAGGAATTACAAAAGTTTTTCAAACTGCTCAAAATTATCAACAAACTAGTTCAAAAGAAAATCCAGTTACTGCTGTTGTTCTTTTGGACGAAGGTAAACAAAATGGCAATACTGCATTATGTGTTAATCTGTTGTAAAAATTTACATATTTTAAACCGATATTACATATTTTGCAGTTGGTCTTGCGGAAACTAGTCCATATAATCCATTGAAAGTACTCCACGCTTTATTGGAGCCACCTCTTGGTTCCCAAAGTAGTGAACCAGCAGTTCCTGTCATTGGAATTAGCAATTGGCGATTAGACAATAGTAAATCCAGTCGTGCATTATTGGTTCAACGTCCTCTCTTTGCAGAAAATGATCTAGTTGATACCGCAAGACGTTTACTTGGGAATATCAAAGAAATCTATGATATTGATGATTTTTTGAAAAAACTTGCAAAATCATATCTTGACTACATTAAAAATCAAAAATATCCAAATTTTCATGGTAAAAAATTCAATGTCAACGGAGAATATTTGATATTCTTAATCATGATGTTTATTTAACTTTTCCATTTTTTTTTCAGGTCTTCGGGATTATTATTCTTTAGTAAAAAGCATAAGAAGCGTGAAGAACAAACAAAAGGTAAACTTATTATTCGCATATTATATTTATGTTATATTATATGGCACTAATTTAATTTTATTATTCTTTAGTTAAATATTCAATTAGCGCTTGCTCGAAATTTCGGAGGAGCTGATAACATGGATGAATTGTGCATCACGTATTTTCAACCAGTTTTGAAACAGCCCCATAAATCTAGATTCGATTATATTCCAATTCCTGTTCAGGACCTTATTGATGCAAATTTCGAAGAAAAAAATGCCCGAAATCTTATGCTTATTGGAAATAGTAATTCTATAGTTGCTCTTCAAACGTATCGGCTTCGCCAAAAACATACTGAACCAGTCGTTATTATTGGATCGCAATTTCCTGATGACATAGATGGAGGAGATTATTCATACGCAATTTTAAATCGTATTATGGTAATGATTAAAAGCTCGTTATATAAAATATCACAATGTGTTTCACTAACCATATTTCTGATAAAGATGTGTGTGGAAACGGGCAGACCTTTGATATTAACCGATCTTGAGATTATTTATGGTATAAATTCTCATGCTAATTAAGTTTATCTTTAATAAGCTTAATAAGAAACTTAACTAAAGGCGATTTGTTTAGGCTCCCTCTATGATTTATTTAATCAAAATTTTTTATCAGAAGGAAATTCAAGTGAAGAAAGTGACAAAAAGAACTTTACTAGAATTAGTCTTGGCCCGTATTCTAATCCTATGTTATATGGTAATTTAATTTCGTAACTGTTTCAATATTCAAAGGATTAATAAATATATATGCATCTGGAGTAGCAACCTATCTAGAGTAGTTCAGATATTTGAAGTAGTACGTACCTGGCTAACATTAAGTAATAATTTTAACTACGTACGGATAATCTGAAATAGCTACGTACGTACTCCAGATGTAACGCATATATGTTACACTAACAATAACGATAAACTAATTTTATTATTCATATACTGTAGTGCATCCAAATTTTAGGTATTCTCAACATCTGATATTGATTTATGAAAACATGGTTTTATTTTTATTAACGCATAAATAAATGTTTAGGTGTATTTTGGTGCTAGATGAGGCAAAACTACCATTAGCCGATCCACCCCTCCTAAATCGCTTTGAAAAGCAAAGACTTACGCTAAATGAAACACTCTCAAGTCATGAAAAAAGACTTGTTGAACGCCTAAAAGATTGGACCAGGGAAATTTCGACTATTGTTGAAAGTGAAAATGATACTAAAAGTCTGTTCAATGAAACAGACATGTTTATTGGTTTCTCTTCAGAAGAAACCTTACAGAGTTTAGTTATAGACCAATATGGAAAAAATCCTGATCTCGATGATGATGCGATTATTCATGCTTGCAAAGAAGCCCTGATTTCAATAGCCACTTCAGATGGTATTGTAAGAGCTAATATGATACAATTTGAATAGGACTGTTCAAATGACGGGATACTATAAAATTTTCCAAACTCCATTCAATGTGTTGTCTTCGTATGTATTTGGTTAAAGAAAGCGAGTCAAATAAATACTGTTCAATTGTTGATGCGATTTCAATAAATATTGAAGTTTGAGACAAATGTACTATATCCAATTCATTAGAAACTACGCCAAGTGTCAATAATTCAAACAAAAAGAAATTAATTTCATGAGGATAAGTTACAAGAGTAATATCAAGGTGCAAACTTTCAAAGGTACTCAATTTACAATTAGCCAATTGCCTAACTAGTGTCCCAAAATTAATATTATCACTGATTAATAAAGTACGTGGGGTTTTTCCTAGTCTAAAGCTGGATTCTTTAATCCATTCTGTTTTGCCCTGCCCGGACATATTTGAAGTCACGCATATAGCATTATCACAAATTTCAGTATATAAAATTTTCATAGACTCAGAGTCAAGGCCATTAGTAGGATAAACATTTTCAGCAAATTGATCTAATATATGATGATTCATAGCCTTTTCTCGAGTACAGACCAAAGCTAGAAGATAATTTGTTTCTTTCTCTTGGAAAATACGGATTGTTTTAACAAGATTATATTGCAATTCAAAATCTAAGAATTCGACATTTGCAATGCAAAATAAACAGTTTTCATAACCTTTTTTTGCGGCAATAAACGAACGTTTTATGAATAGAGAAATCTCCTCCGCAGTAGTTGTGCTTCGACAAATTAGAATTTGCCATGGTTCAGGAAAAGATCGATAATTGATAAAAAGTGATAAAATAACATTTGGAACTAAAGAACGAGAATGACAATCTGCGACGAATATTTTTCCTTTAAAAACTGTATCAGCAATGACCGGTTCAACACAATCAGGAATGGGTCGAATACGTCGTGGAATGTCAGTGAAAATATCATGAAGTATAGCACCAATTTTACGAAGAGTCGGTAAAAAACCTGCTTCGCTTTGAACAACGGGCCATTCTCCAGTCCAATTGGGTGATTGAGGTAATTGAGCTTCATTATTAACAAACCGGACGAGATTTTGACAAATTTCTCGATTCGATGCATGAAAATTATCGTTTTCACCATCGTACGTATGATCAATTTTTCTAAAATAATCATAAAAGGCCAGAATATGACATGCAGAAAAGAAGGTTAAATAGTAGTGTTCGTTTTGCGCCTGATCAACTACTGTTTCCCATCTTTCCATATCAACAGTTAATTCATCCAACAATTGTTGCAGGTCGAAGGTTCCATGAGCTTCCATGCGCTTCTTTTGATAAAGAAAATGTCCATATTGAATTAGTCTTGAAGCCACAGTGATAATTTGTTGTGCTAAATCAACTTGTACAATAAATTGATTCATTAGCACGCCGATATCTTCGTTACCATCATCATCAACTGATTGATCAGTGGAGGCTCTAGATTTTCCAATCAAGAGTGCACGACCGCAGAGATCGTGCAATTCCGCTATATTATAAGATGCTGCAACACGAGGTGAATCGTTATGCTGATTTTGTGTCGTATCATATTTCAATGTAAGTTCACATGAGTTCGATAGTTCGTTATGTTCAAATATATAGAGGCCGATCGTAGCAGCATTTTTAATTCGTTCCTTAGTAACTTCACCCCGTTTTTCTATATTGCGATGCATATTCTGTAAAGCTAAATTATGCGAACCGCAAGAACTTATTTTTTCAGCGAGCGAAGGATTTTTCTGTGATACCTCAGACAAGCATTTTAAAAACGAAGTAGTTGACAATCGTGCGGCATCTTTATTTAAAGGATTCAGAGCTTTGTTGACTTCGATTAAAGCTGCCACAGTGTTCTCTTGTAATAGTTTTGTGTCCGATTGATCATCGACAGCTGTATTATATTAATTAATTAATGGAAAACAATTTATAGTAAATTAATGATGTTCTATGATATTCTACGCGCTTGGCTATACATAAAAGATAAGACATAAGGCGAGACCAACTTTGATTCTGTGTTTTACATTATCCCCTCTCCTCCCTCCCTTTGCTCCCTCTTCCCCTCTTCCCCTCCTCCCCTCCACCCCTCTTCCCCTCTTCCCCCCTCTCCCTCATATATAGGGCTACGGGTTATTTCGGAAATTTTTTATATAGTCACGGAACAATTCGGAAAAATTTTTTTTGAAAGAAAAATTTTTTTAAAATTTTACTATGTAAACCACAAATCCCCCC